TATGCGATGCCACTGCGATGCCGTGGCAATGCTACGGCGATGTTTGCGATCTTACTGCGCTTACTTCGGCGTTCTTAATTTTCTTTGGACGCCGTGAGAACGCTGCCCTAGTGTGACAGGGGTTTAAGAGCGCTTTAGAAAAATAAAGCTCCGTACAAACGCCGTGCTAGCGCCGTATACACGTATTAAAGGCGCTGTAGAGACGCCGCACAATCTCCGTACAAGCGCCGTGGCTAACCATGGCATTCATTCGGCGATCCTTCTGCGCTTTCACGGCGTTCCTGTTGCGTTGTAGGAGATGCTACTGAGTTGTTTACTGCGATACCACTGCGCTTTTATCAGAACGCCGAATGACGGCGTTTGTTTTGAGCCTGCTCAAAATGCGCGCCGTTGGTCGGCGTTCTATGCGATGCCACTGCGATGCTGTGGCGATGCTACGGCGATGTTTGCGATCTTACTGCGCTTACTTCGGCGTTCTAAATTTTCTTTGGACGCCGTGAGAACGCCGCCCTAGTGTGACAGGGGTTTTATTTATTACCATAACGCGACACGAATTACCATTTTGTTAAGACTTGAACTACTTCTGTAAATAGATTTTCGGACTTTTACAATGTTAATGTCATCTACCTATTTAAAGCTTTCGAATTCATGTACAATTAAAAATCACAGAAGGGGGAACCAATATATGTCTACATAATAGAAATCGGTAGGAGTTTTTGACTCCGAATTTATTTTTAGCTGTAAATCGATGGGATTAATTGATAAAAGCCTATGGACAAAAAAGTAGTAAACGCAAATATCTCCGGAGCAATAAATATAAATCGGTTAGTAATCACACCGTGTTATTGAAATCGGGCTCCCTTGTGGTAACAAACTATTAGATATAACCATACAAAAAAATATTTTCATGTTATTTTAGACAGTTACCTCTTAAATTATAAATATAAAATATATCATTAAGAAGAACATGACAAATATAAATGATTTCTTAAGTAGACGCTGAATTATATGTACTTCTGCGTTTACATTAATGATGTAATTACAAGTTCATAAAGTCTTTACAATATTTCTATTCCTTCTGTTGATAAGAGTTTAAAGTTTTTAAAAATTGTTTTATAGAACATCAAAATTTAACGCCATGACAATGGACTTATCAACGTTAGGTCAGTCAGTGCCTGATCGATATATATGTTCAGCTTTGTGTTGACCTATTTAAGATACTGTTCAAAATATCACAAATGCAGTTATAAACTTAAATGTAATTTTGTACAATCATGTTTGTAAAATTTTACGGGCCTTCAAATGGCATTCAACTTTAGACATAGTGGAAAAGATCACATATAAGAAATTCCCATATATGATAAATACATGTCTCAGAAATTATACAGGTCAGTGCACAGTTATGTTCCGAAGATAATACCGTTTCGATAAATCTTGTTTCTTCGTTTTACAAACAACAATTTAAACGTCTTAATCGGTACATTTTTAAATAATGATGAAATACTGATTTCACACTTCAAATGTTATAAAAATATCAACTTTCTATACGTTTTTATGACAATATCATGCATTCTGGTGAGTAAAATAACTAGTATCCTTCAAAACAAGTTACTCATCATGTTAAATTACTTGGTTTAAACAGTTTTTATTTCATATAATACAAACATATACAATTATGATTCAACAACATTACATAAAACAGGATTGAAAAGGAAGTCAAAGACTTATGTAGATTTCTTTCCTGTAAATTGTTAATGTATAGCAAGTTATAATGTAGGGCCCAGTTACACAGACGGTCGGTCCCCAATCGGTCATTTAATTTTAAATTTACTCGCTGTTATGATCGGTTGTCATGCGTGATTTTATTTCTGGTTTTCTGTGTAAACGGCCATCGGTGACAGACAGCAAACTCAAACAGGAATGGGTCGATGATTAAATACTGAAATACTTTTGGTTTTTATCGTTTGTAAATCGGAGCTAAATCGGGCGTAACGCTGATTAATCGGTGTTTGATAGCTAGTCATCAGTGGTTAAACACTTTCCGTCAGATATTGCCGGTGATTCATATTTGGTTATTTTTGTCCGATCGGCGATATCGGTGATTAAGAGGTTGCACATCTCGTGATATAGGTTGCCGTCGGTAATTTTTAAAATATTTTCACCGATCGAGAATTTTAGACGTGTTTAAAAATCCCAATCGGTAATTTTTCACCGATGAAACTTATCTTTCCCCAATAGCAGTTGATAGGCGGAAAACAGATTGGTGACCAATAGGTGATATCGATGATAAATACGTTGTCATCGGTTCACTCCATAAGTTGGCTAAAAAAACTACCGATCAATCACCGATGGCTCTGTGTAACTGGGGTGTAACAGAACGCACAAGTACACTAGTTACTCACATGAAATGATTACATAATTACACATAAAAAGAATGAAATAAGTAATGAAAATACAACAAACGAAGAATAAAGTGAAAATAACAACTATTGTGTGAATTGCATATATAAGGAGGTACGTAATAAAAAAGGTCGGTTTTAAGTATATAGAGGATATTTGTTTGCTTGTGTGTAAGATGAAATTTATTTCATCGAGCGGGCTTTAAAATCCACGAGTGAGAATACTGTTTTTAAAGTTCGAGAGATGAAATAGAATTACATCTTACACAACAAACAAACACATTTTCTATTTATTTTATGCTTAAAAACAAGTTAAAACGAAATTTTCTTAAAGTTAACTTTAATATTAAAATCTGGTAGCCTCATTTTAGTCGGATTTCTCATAAAAAACAAGAAGTCTTGAGCTGAAAAATAAGTCCGAAAATCAACGTTAAATGGCAGTGATATTATTCATTTTATTAAAAGAATGTGATAAATCGATTGTTTTAATAATAAAAACAATTAATTTTAGTAGAAGAAAAAGTCATCCGACCTTATTTCCGTTACTTACTGCGAATTTATATTGGACCTGGCCTTGTGAAATGTAAGCGGCCGCTATTTATAAAAGTTTTGTATTTCACTGGAAGAAAATAATTGTGTTTAATTCAGAGGGATATCATTTGGATTAGTTAGTCATATATCTTTTAGAAGAAAGAAAACTTATTTAAGGATTTTTACAGACAATAAATAAGCGTTGACAGATGTGTAAACATTCAAAAAGCGTCTAGGAAATAGGAAAACATGGAATTGTTGAAAGGCTGCTATACGAACGCTATGTTGTTAACTTATTCTTCGGGCTGATGGCTGCCATTGCGTTTCAAGTTTTCATATTACATTTGGCAGTTATTGCTTGTAGGATACTTAAATTTGCATGTGAAAGGAATTGTATTTTTCAGACTGTAAAAATGAAACGAAAATTTCAAGACAATATTTGGTGATTGGTAATTTAGATTAATTGAAGTAAGTTTTCTTCTTTTTATTACTTTTGAAATTCAAGTTATTTATCAAGTTTAGCTTTGCATTTCTCTAAATAGCTCTGGCAAGGTCAGAATTGTCAGCAAAAATAAAATTGAGGTACCACATGGGGAAAAACTTGAAAAAGTAGTTTCGTTATTGAAAAGTGTGAAATTATATTTTGGAAATTTTCACTGTGAAATTATCAAATATAATTTTCACGGATAAATCAGTATTCCACTGAAAAGCATAGAATAAAAACAAATATGGTCTACTTATTGATGTTTAATCTATAAATACACAAGAATTATAGTAGATAGAAAGATAGTTATAGGGATAGAGGTCAGAGAGCGAGATGTGGCCATTGCCATTGAGTGAGATGATAATCAGAAGTATTTTTATCTTAGATATAAGACCTAGTATCTTACTATTATCGTTACACAAGCGGCAAAGTATAAAACATGATGATATAGTAAAAAAATGAATTTAAAAGAATGTTGAATTATGCAGCACATATATAACGAGTTAGGCAAGACAAAACCGCTTTGTGCTAGAGATGTATTTATGTACAAGTATAAATACTTTTGTATTTGCTTCCTCGCTGAGGCCTATGTCGCCATGTAGAGTAATGTTGACAATGTTACTGTTGTTATTTATTGAAGCTGTCCTCTGAAGGGAAAATTGATTATAATTAAAAGAAATGTGACATGAATCTTCAATCTCACCGCAGTGACAGAAGGGATCATCAATAATGCTTTAAGAAAAGAGATCCTCAAGAATGCTGCAATGGGTTCTAAGACGCGTGTATAAGATTTGGGACTTACGTATAACGTGGTAATAGTATATAGGTACTTTTGAAATTGTAGAATTTAGTTTTTTCTTAATTATGCAGATGCTTTCTGCATTTCTGACTTCGACAGGTAGTATAAAAAACTTTAACGATGACTAATCGTTTGCTTATATCAAAAAGGTGAAAGAACCTTACATGTTTTCCTTATCCACCACTCCTATGTATTCAATCAGTACAATAAATCAAGTCACCATATCTGGAACTCAGTTACTCAATTACAAATTGGTAAACTAATTACTTGATGAATGAATAATTTAGTACATAGTTACTTGATTTTAATTTTTTTTAGTTTACATGTTTATTTAATACTCAGCTCATGAATAACATGACAATATAAGCTATTACATAATAACATAATAGACTAAAGAGGTATATATATCACGCACAGACAAATCTCGATTTTTTCATATGTGCCGTTAGTGTGTTATTATTTAACTTAAACTCTAACTATTTTTAAGACAAAAAACATTTCTTTCTTTGAAAGGCTATATAAAAATAAGATGTATTTTGATTTTCATTTAGATTTGCACACTTACATGTTACTTTTTTAAATAAAGATTTCATCATTATTATCATTGTTATTATCATGAAGAGATTGGAGGTCGTTTATTTGTATTTTGGACGAGGATTTTAAATTTATCTGAGGTGTTCAAAAATTTCTGACATGCTGTGTTAAACCATATTGAAAAAAAGAAGAAATAAACTCATGCCCTCCCTATATTGCATCTATAGCATAATTTCTACTTTAGACTGTGTTTAAACTTAATTACACTAAACAGTTAACCTTATCAGATAAGGTGCAACAATTCAGGTCATACTTTGTTAAAAGTCGTCCATCATGATTGCAGGAAAGATGGATACCGCCACCATATTGTTCATTTTTACATGTTGTAAGTATATGTTTTTTATGTTGAGTTAAGTGTAAGTTATACATGAAGAAGATATACATGTATTATGCCTTCTATATGTGAAGTTACTATAATTAGAGTAACAGAAATATATTTTGACTCTTTTTTGTGTTGATCAATTTGGAGATTTTATTTACTAGAATCATTAACTTCTATTTAGTTTTCATATTATGTTAGTAGAAAACAGTGAAGCAGACCAAATGGTCCAGTGCTATAAAATATTAATTCGATCCAAACGCAATTCCAATCTAAATTACTTATAGATAGCGAGTTAGAATTGAGATACTGGGTATAAGTGATCCTTTTATTTGAATCGAAGGCTACTTCAGGTGTTGTCTGTAGCTTTCACTCCGGATCACGACAGTAAACCACATTGAACTTACAAGAGTATAGTTCAACCACCGCATTGTTCCTGGACAGGCTGTAAAGTAGTTTACCAGTATAAGTTGTCTTCAACTTTCGCAAGGAATTGAAACTTCTGTACATGTCAGAACAGAGTTACAGTTCATATGACTGCAGAAAGGATTTCATGATCAATCATAACGAAACTGACCTGCACCGTCCGAGAATCCAATCCGGGCCGCCCGATTCAGAGACCAACGCTCTACTTATTGAGCTAACCGGAGGGCAAATGCTACTTATTTATGCTGTTAACTTAACATTTCTGTTGTTGCGACTTGTCATTAACCGGTACTATGTTGCTATAACCCATGACCCAATCCATTTGTATCTTTATTGTTATATGCATGGACATATAAATAAAATACTATAAAGGTTATTTTAGTTTAATTATATTTTATTTATATGTCCTTGCATAGAACAATATAGAAGTCGCAATAACAGAAATGTTAACAAATTGACAGCATAAATAATATAAAAGTCAATGTAGTATTTAATTTATAGAATATCTTTTGGCTGGTAATAGAGAATGTAACAAATGACACGGTAAAAAGATACATGTTTGATAATAGGAAAAAACTATAAAGTAAATATCAAGAAAAGAAAAAGTGGTCACCTCTGGGGCGCAAAAAATATAGCTTTCTTTGTTCCGAAGATAAAGTCAAGCACCAGATAAGTGACCGTGTACCTCAAATAAAAGTTTACAATGGTTATCTCAAACTCAAGTTTCGTGAGAACATTTATGAGCACAAATTTTGAAATGATTTTTCTTTACGGTTGAACTAATAACATTACCACCTTATTGACTTTCGAAGTCCAAATATTGAGAAATAGGGAATACTGAGCAGACAATTCAGACATCATATTTTGTTTTTCGACTTTACCTTGAATTGAAAATCAAAGAACACATGTAATAGGATTATTAACCGAGACTTTTGGCTGGATTTTGCTTGATCGAAATCTTACGAAGGGCTTCCTTGTCAAGAGTTATATGATTTAGTACAATTCATTAACGTTAAGTACAGGTCACGGTAATCTTATCAAGATAATGACCATTTTAATAAATTCAAACTCTACGTCCGATCCTAATTCATTATACGTATGTCATTCCGGGTATAAAATACGGATAGTCTATCTGCTAATGTGATATATGCGATAAATATAGTCAAGTATAGAGAGGCATAACTTCAAGAACTACATTAAAAACACTAAAATGATGTACGTGGGATGTTTCTGCATAACTGTTATTTCACTTAAATTTTAAAGGAAATAAATTCCAAATACTTTTTGTTTCAATTCAAAATAAGCATTTCAACCACAAATTTACACAGTTGAAAAATAAAATATTGTTTATCGATAGATACATGTATATGGCAGTTTGACTATACTACGCGAAAACACAGTCAAAGAAGTACTAAAACTGGCTTTTACATAAAAATTAAAATATTCTGTTAATAAGATATTAAAACATATTTGTAAAATGTATGATGTTTCCAGATCTAAGAAATATGCATAACAGTTAATAAATGTATTTTTAGTTTTGATATTGTTAGGCGTCTATTCGGAGAAATGGTCGTCCCTTAAACCCATATACATATAATCAAGATACTTATCGGAGAAGATACGTGATTGGCAACGTTAACTATGTTGGTGGAACTTGCATATTACCGATACTAGTAAAAATTATTTTGAAGATAGAACTGAAATAAATGTGTTCTCCTTATATACCACCTTTATGGTTTAGAGAACAGGCGATGTTGAGATCAAACATTCTTATTGTACAGTAGGTATGACAATAATTATGTTGTTATCTCAACATCAATAATCACTGAAATACTTTTGGTAAGTTAGTAAATGTTCCATCCATATATATGGGCTACCCAACTTTTGTGTAAACTAGTAACTTACCCAGAATCTATAACTATGCGAAATTTGTTGCTTTTTTTTTTTTTTTTTTATTGTTATTCTTTTTTTTTTCAGAAATCAATTTCTTTTCATTGTTCTACTTTCAAGTTGTTTCGACATTAAGAACATCACTTATAAGTATATTTGTAAGAAAGTGTAACAAAAGTTGAACATGTATCGTATAGGCGCCAAAGTAAAGCGATGACAAGTATTTTATGTTTAGTGACAACGCTACGTCTTACAAGACAAGACTTATGTTGAAACTGAGCATCACATTAAAATTAAACAGCTTATTGAAAAAAAGTTCTGACCTTCTGTGACAAATCCTTTAATCCATTAATGAACAAACTTCTTGCTCATTTTTAGATGCTATAGCTCTCATAAAGTAGTTGGCTCGGTGATTTTCAAATTTCTTTTCTTGAAGGGAATACCATTTAAGGCTTAACATTTCAACTTTTCAGTTTTGCTCGTTCACCAGACATTTGGTGCTCATGGATCTGTCATGTGTCGGCAATGTAAGAATGTGAAGGGACCAGGTGACTGTCATCAGTTTAAACTTCACTGTGGTCATGGGGTAGGAATCTTGTATTTAATCTTTAAGCTTGCATTCACGAAAGCAATACGTTCCCTCCAATATACTTTATTTTTCTATGCCATAAATACATGTTTAGTTAAATCTAAAGTTTAACTGTTTCAACGTTTGTTTGTTTTAATGGATCTTTTTCGTCATTTATTAATATATTTATTTGATTCATAACTTTATTTATTTGTTTTAGGAAGTATGTGTTACTGATGTGTTTAAAATGGCAGATGGCACGCACAGTTTTAACTATGGCTGCAAACACGAGGGAGAGGTATACTTAAGTTAGAGCATACAATAATGTTTATCTTTCGAGTAATTCTACTAGTTTTGGTTGATTAAGATGTTTACGTTTGTACGAAATAAGAAACTGTGTGTTTATACATCATTAATATAGTTCATGTAGAATGACAAGTTTATTTGGTTTTTTAATTTGGAGCCAATTATTCATCCACAAACTTGGATGTTTAAAAAGTTGATAATATATCGAACACATGGTACCTTTTTTCTAATACATATACATTAAATTGAATCACGCAGACTTGACAAAATGAAAAGTATAATAATTCAATTACCATATGAAAAGTTTTCAACTTGATTCTTAAGTTCTTTGTTTTAAAGACTTGTGGACACCATCACCATGCATCGCCCGATCTTGTCGGCAAGAGGCGCCGTGGGAAAAGAAATGAAGGGACACATGTTTGTCAGGAGTGCTGCCATGCAACTGGCTGTGATCTGCACACATGTAGTAAGTCACACAACACTATGTTGTTAACCAATCATTATTAATATTTACAAACTCTTTTTTTCAAATTATAGATTTACAGACAAAAGTTTTTTAGTTTCTGAATGTTCAGACACGGCCAAAAGCAAAATTGTTCACATTATATGCATAATTGTGAATTGCTTAACTCATTATATATAAAGAAAAAAAACCCAGCTGACCGTTGAAATTGCATTCCTTTGTTGCTATGATTATCGCATGACCGCCACAACTTTCCTTTGAAGATAGGCGTTCTCTAAATTTCGGTATTGGAAAACTTTGGGGTGATCTAAATGAGGTATCAGTACGCTTTGGGGTGCTCTAAATGAGGTATCAGTACACTTTCTCGCGCATGCCCAGTTTATTATTTATATCAAATAATAAAGTGAGCATACCTGAAAAAGAGCAAAACAAAACATTACACGATTTACAGAGCTTTTTTAAAAATATTTATATATCATCTCGATCTTTTTTTTCAAAACCTGAAAATGCAGTTATTATAAAGATGTTGACTCCAGTGGAAAGTAATCGCCATTTTCTACATCCTGACCTCGTGGACAAATCTCAAACAATGATTAAATTATTCTGTTTTTTTTTTTGCTTTAAATAATGCCTTCGTTTTACAGGAGATTCAGACCAGTTAATCATTCAGTACATCACTACACGTATATGAACATAATATTCTAGCGTAATTATTATTAGATGTAAGTAGTGTTAAAGGCACATTATGCGTCAGAAATGCTATCATTTTTATTTCTCAAAATTTTAAATATTTGGTGTCTTGTTACAAGTTTCACAAAAAAACTGATCTGCCATATAAATGAACTATCTTTTGCTTTGCTGGCAAATTGCAATTGATACAATAATAATGAATTAGTATTTTGTATGGAAGTCAAATTTAAATACTATTTACATGTGTATTTACATTTTGCTACCTTTACAACACATTACTGCACATTCAGCACGCACTACTTTCTTTAGCTGTTAAAGATCCTACATGTTCTAAATCCATTATTAAAACATTTTAAACATGTGCTTTACATTTCTAAAGAATTTAATAAAAAAGGAGTTCTGAGGCATAATGTGCCTTTAAATAAAAATCACTACATTGTTACCTCTGAAATATACACCGGGATACTTATCGACAATATGTCCTAAATTATATTTTGAAAATGAGCTGGAAAGATGATTATTATTTCGCATTTAGAAAAAATGCATCAACTTACATGTACCTCGTGAAATGGTTATTAATGTCAAGTTCCTTCAACGGCATCTAATGATTGTATTTCTGTGGGTATTTCTTAAAATATTTATATGTTTAAATAAAGCAAATATTACGAGAGAAGAAAAAAGTCGTGATGGTCATGCGATAAAACAGTTACAGAATAAATACTCGGACTTCACTGGTTGGTATCAGCGCATGGGGCGACAAAAAAGGGTCAATCATGGAAATTAATCTCGACGGATGGTTGGTATCAGCGCATGGGGCGACAAAAAAGGGTCAATCATGGAAATTAATCTCGACGTTCCGTCTCGATTAATTTTCTATGATTGACCCTTGTTTTCGCCCCATGCGCTGATACCAGCCGGTAAAGTCCTCGTATATATTCTATAACTATTACATATAATATCCTTAACCGGTCATGTATTGTAAACAATGGGTGCGTTCAGAAAAAAATCCATTGATAACTATTTGTTACGGAAGCGTCCTGGTGCCAATTCATAATGTTCTATAAAAAAAATAATCTCCTACGTAGGAGATAAAAAAGCCTAATTAGGAGTTTGTAACTCCTACGCAGGACTTTTAAACTCCTACGCAGGACTTTGTAAGTGATAGAACATTATGAATTGGCACCAGGACGCTTTCGTAATTTGTAGTCTAACTAACCATTGCGTTACAAATTGTAGTAATGTTACAGTTGTTTAGGCAGTAGCGGATTTTAGGGTATAACGGATAACATGGTAGTAACAATGCTCCTTTCCATCAAATATGCCTGTTTCAAAATGATACAATTATGCCATCAAAAAGATTGATATATTTCCCATCCGTCGCTAATTTTGTTTTATTTATTTCAAATTGCACAGCGAGTTTTTCTTACATAAATCAGAACGAGAGTAACCGGATGTTGTCACCGTGAGACTGTTTATAAGCGCTTTCAAAAGAAACAAACAGAAAACTATTTATCAACACCTAGTAAAGTAATGAAATATTGACATGATTTGGTGTAAAAATCATTTATTTATAATTTTTCAAAAGCTTCTACAGATATAACACGTACTGACACTAAAGATTGTTGAAAATGAATAGCAAGTGCTTCTGTCAGTAACGGATTTTACTTTTGGGGGTGGTCTCAAAATTTACTTTATCTGTCAAAACGCCGTCAAAAGTGGATTAAAAGCACACTTTTAACAAAAAATATCCCAGTTTAAATGTTATAATATTATTTATTCTATCTTTTTATAATTATAACTCAGTTGTATTTATACTTTGAATATACCATCATTATTAATAAATAATATTAAACATCATTTGAAAAACATACACTTTGATTACAGATAAACAAAGAAACTTAATGTTGTCTGATATTGCAGGGCTACCTATTGGCCGTGCACCAAAGATTTTAGCAAGTTGCTTTAGCAATGTACTTAACAGTGGTGGAAAAATCAATCTTTGTCACTGCAACAGGTGAACTAGTTCCCAGTTTTCCAGTGGACAATTTAAAATAAAAAAAGATGGTGGCATTGTTATACCTTGTTTTTTAAACACTTATTGTTGATAATTTGGATGACACTGTTCATATGTTATCTGACACACTTCCCATTATGTCAGACGGAAGTGCCATGGACATAAAACTCCAGAACTGATGTTTAATATGATTTTGTTTGATTTGTCTGTGTTTTGTTTTAAGAGAAAATGCTAATCATTGATCTGAATAAACATTGTTATAAAATCATGTGTAATATAATATATATCCTTGGTTTACATGTAGAAAAATTTGAAAGATTACTATCAAATGTAACATTTTTCATTCCAGTAACTCCAGAACATATTTCTGTGACATGTACTTTGTAAATACGAAATTTAGAACATTTTGAGATTCACCCTCATTTACCTTCACCTACCTATCCCATACTCCCCAAAGCTATCCGCTACTAACTGAACTATATGCCAAACATAAACAAAGAGTACTACATGTAATGTCAAAGATACTGCTAAAAAAACATTTTATTTTAAAAAGGGAAGTAGTTTGACTACTGAAAGGTATCAATTTGATTTTCTGAATATCATTATTTAAGACATAAGCAGCGCCGATCTCCTTAGCTATCCGCTACTGCCTAAACAACTGTATCATTAGTTACTTGCTGAATTTGTAGACATACTAGGGCTTATAGTAATGTTGGTAAGTTCTGGTTATTACGCTATTCAAAATGACGTTCTTGACCACTATTTTTACGAAATAAACATAAGGCTTTAATAATGTAATACTTGTACAAATGTAAAAAAAGTGATGATCTGCACAGGAACAAACATTTATTATAAATAAAATGAAAAAAATAATAAATATGTTAAAACAAGCTGATGAGCAGTTGTTGGTTGGTGATGTCATTGTTATAGCCAGGTGATGAACAGTTGTTGGTTGGTGATTTTATTGTTATAGCCAGGTGATGAGCAGTTGTTGGTTGGTGATGTCATTGTTATAGCCAGGTCATGAGCAGTTGTTGGTTGGTGATGTCATTGTTATATACAGGCGATGAGCAGTTCTTGGTTGGTGATGTCATTGTTATATACAGGCGATGAGCAGTTGTTGGTTGGTGATGTCATTGTTATAGCCAGTTGATGACCAGTTGTTGGTTCGTGATGTCATTGTTATGGCCAGCTGATGAGCAGTTGTTGGTTGGTGATGTCATTGTTATATACAGGTGACAAGCAGTTGTTGGTTGGTGATGTCATTGTTATATACAGGCGATGAGCAGTTGTTGGTTGGTGATGTCATTGTTATATACAGGCGATGAGCAGTTGTTGGTTGGTGATGTCATTGTTATATATAGGCGATGAGCAGTTGTTGGTTGGTGATGTCATTGTTATTACAGGCGATGAGCAGTTGTTGGTTGGTGATGTCATTGTTATATACAGGCGATGAGTAGTTGTTGGTTGGTGATGTCATTGTAATATACAGGCGATGAGCAGTTGTTGGTTGGTGATGTCATTGTTATATACAGGCGATGAGCAGTTGTTGGTTGGTGATGTCATTGTTATATACAGGCGATGAGCAGTTGTTGGTTGGTGATGTCATTGTTATATACAGGCGATGAGCAGTTGTTGGTTGGTGATGTCATTGTTATATACAGGTGATGAGCAATTGTTGGTTGGTGATGTCATTGTTATAGCAGTTGATGACCAGTTGTTGGTTCGTGATGTCATTGTTATGGCCAGCTGATGAGCAGTTGTTGGTTGGTGATGTCATTGTTATATACAGGTGACAAGCAGTTGTTGGTTGGTGATGTCATTGTTATATACAGGCGATGAGCAGTTGTTGACTGTTGATGTCATTATTATAGCCAGATGATGAACAATTGTTGGTTGGTGACGTCATTGTTATAGCAAGCTGACGAGCAGTTGATGGCTGACGATGTCATTGCTATAGCCAGCTGACGAGCAGTTGTTGGCTGGTGATGTCATTGTTATGGCCAGCTGATGAGCAGTTGTTGGTTGGTAATGTCATTGCTATATACAGGCGATGAGCAGTTGTTGACTGGAGATGTAATTGTTATAGCCAGGTGATGAACAATTGTTGGTTGGTGACGTCATTGTTATAGCAAGCTGACGAGCAGATGATGGCTGACGATGTCATTGCTATAGCCAGCTGACGAGCAGTTGTTGGCTGGTGATGTGGTTGTACTAGCCAGTTGATGAGCAGTTGTTGGTTTTTGATGTCATTGTTATAACCAGCTGCTGAACATCATTGGCTGGTGATTTCATTGTT